ACAAACAGTAGCAGCAGTCAGCAGGAAACATGCAAGTTAAGAATGTCAATACATCAAGGGAAAGATGAGTCGGTACATTACAGATCAAGCCACTGGAGTCAAAAAATGAAATTCAAGGAAAAGCACATAGTCAAGAATAACTTGCCAACGAACAAAGAGTTGCTGGAGCGGAGCTGGAGAGGAGATCTTCGGATCGCCGAGGAGCAGGAGCCGCAGAACTGAAGGCGAAAGAAAAAAACATCATTAACAAGATATCGGATTTGCAGAAAAGATTAATTGACTTTCTCAAGCTATTTAAAATTAGCTAAAAAACGAAACCAATGAGTAATTTCATGAGAAATCACAGATACATCTCAGCCCCACTACTCCAATATTACGAAAATGTGTTCAGCCACAGAAATGCAATGCTACTTATACATTTACAGCGTGTATCATATTCGAGTTAACTTCCTACTTTTTAAACCGTCGTTAAAAGTTTCAGTATTATCCGTCTTTACCCAATGGATTCAATAGACGAAGAATCTGAGACTTACTGTTTCCCATCTCTATTCAACAAAAGCACAACGAAACGAAAAGAAGCTTGGTATAAACCCGTTCTGGTGTTAAAATGCAGGGAAGCAGGTGTTGTCTTACGGAGAAATAGAAATGGTATAGCGAAAGGTAGCATTACTTACCCCGGGGGAAAAACAACTTTCATAACTGCAGGCGCGTTCTTGAAATCCTTTGTCACCTGGAGAAATAAAATAAAACACGAATAAGTCAATTCAATATTTTCAAAATTGTGTAATTTCGGAGCGGAAAGCTTTTACACCTCGAATCCGCAAAGAAGAGATCCAACAGAAACTGACTTTAAAGCAAATGTTTGAAGCTAAACTACAGCACTAGAGACATAATTACATAAATACATAATTAAAATAATTACATGAGAGATAGTATATTACAGATCAAGATCTGGTGTCCAAAATGAAACGTAAGGAAAAGCACACACTGTCAAGAGTAACTTGCCAACGCACAAGGAGTTGCTGGAGAGGAGATCGTCGGAGCGCAGAGGAGCAGGAGCCGCAGAACTGAAGGCAAAAGAGAAAACAAGTTAACAGCATACCGGATGTGCAGAATCTATGCGTTTGAAGTCTAACTCTTTAAATAAGCTGCCTGAAGAAATATACAATCCCGCTAAAAATTCACTAAGAAAACAGTCCCACTATTCCAACATTTAAAAAATATGTTCGGCCACATAGAAATTCAACGCTACAGATACATTTCAGAGAAAGTACCACTTTCAGCGGGTATCATTTTCGATAAAACTCCCTGCTTTGAAAAGCATCCTTAACATTTGTTAGTGTTATCCATCTTTACTCAATTAATAGATAAAGATCCAGCGCCTTAGAGTTTTTATTTTTATTCAACAAAAGCACAACGAAGCTAAAAAGAAGTTAGAATATGTGTATAAACTCGTTCTGTTTTAAAATGCCGGCAACTCTTATCGAGTTACAAAAAAATAGTATGGCAAAAGGTAGGAATATAACTTACAGTACCTTTGAAAAACCCTTTTTATAACAGGAGGCCCCTTCTTTAAATCCTTTTGTCACCTGGAGAAATAAAAAACATACGAATTCGTAATTTCATCTTAATATTTTAGAAGCTCGGAGTGGAAAGGGTTATAGCCCATATCCCCAATGAAGAGAATCACACAACAATTGGCTTTATAAAGGAATTTGTTTGGTGGTAAACCGCAGCCTTACATAACTCCATAGCTAGAAGTACAATATACTTAAAAATACTTCAATGAAAGATATAAGAAAAGAAGTATAAGAACGCTTAATTGGAGATTTTAAAACGTCCACAGCACGCCCAAACGGAGAGAACACTAATTTCGGCGTCCTAAAACACAAATTAAATCGAAATACATACAATTAAAATGTAGCAACATGCATAAACTTTGTCTATCTTTACTCAACGTGATATTTGCATTTTTAACTTAAAATTAGAAATAAAACGCAAACGCACCTAACGCCGCAGAAACTCGTCCCGCCGCCATCTTGCCGGGCGCACCTGTGGAACAGGTGGACGGGGCGTGTCCGCTGAGGAAGGTCACTCTGGAGGCGGGCTCGGCTCCTGAAGGACAGCTGGGGATTCAGTTACAAGGG